ATATATATATATATATATATATATATATATATATATATATATATATATATATATATATATATAACTATTTTATGAAATTTAAATAATAACAAGTATTTTAAAAAATAACAACTACCAATCTTGAGCATGTTCGCCTACTCAAGAATGGTTCGGTTACGAGGGTCGGTGGTGTCTTGGAATAAGCTCTGCTTAGGGGTAAGTTTTTAGACCTCCGAACCGGACCTGTACTTGGATAGGCCTTAAAGGGTCCGGTCCAAGGTCCATCATTTCTATGAAACCGGTCAGATCCAAGAGTCGGTCCGGTCCGATTCGGTTTAAATACGCACCCCTACAATCGTAATAGATAAATAAACTTTCGGTAGGCTTCAACAAGTTGTATCATATGCACCAAAAGTTGTACATGTCCAACGGGTACTAGAACCGGAAAACCTGGACCTGGACCGAACCTTGACCGACCTCATCCAATTCGGTCCTAGGGCCACTAATTTCTGCTAAACCGGTCTAGTCCAAGAGTCGGTCTGGTTCGGTTCAATCCAAATGCTCACCCCTAACTCTATTGATACTCGAGAGGGATTACAGTTAAGCATGTTCACCCACTGTAAAATCATAACTATATTTTTATATTATGATAGGATTATACTTGTGGAAGATCGTACAACTAAAATGCCTAAAAAGTAATTCAGATCACCTATAGTTGTCATGGAAAACTCATGCCTGAGCTAAGAAAAAAAAATCAGCTTGTAACGTCCCATATTTCACAACAAAACTTTCAGTTTTTATCTTAAAATAAAAAGAGCCATTTTTATAAAGTAGCATCATAAAACCGGTTGTTCAAACAGTTTACATCCCAAATATCATAGTATGAACATAAATGCAGAATCACAAATACAGAAGTTACTGATGTGTGTATAGTCACATCTTTATCTTCCCATGATCATCTGATGCCTTCGCCTTCCCACGATCATCTAAAGTACCTAAGACATTTAATCAATAATTGCAAACCAAAGCTTAGTGAGTTCCCCAAAATACCATACACCACAATATACATACAATCATACAAACATTGGCATTGAGTCCATGACTGGTCCGCCCCTCTTGCCTGCAACATAATATTGGTCCGCACCTAGCCTTCAGCATAACGCTGACCCACCTGAGTATCTTGGCCTACCTCACAAAGCAGGACCAACCTCAAGTCACCAAAAGATATGTCTACAAATATAACAAATAGGCAAAAAACAATCAAATAACACATACAACTATCTAAACTAGATTACCTGTCCAAAAGCTCACTACAAAATACAAAGCACTCATACTGCACTCTACAACACAACTAGAAGATCACCAAATGAATGCATAGTTGTATGTAATTAGAGATAAGATAGACAGTCGAACAAATGATCCTACTTGAAAGCTACAACCAAATAAGGAACAGATAAGAAATCCTAGATCAAGAGTTCACAAGCTATCTTACATGACTACATATAACCCCTACGCTATTCACTTCAACGATCACCAATCCTATCGATACCCTAAAAAACATACCACTACACCTCTACATCCTATCATGCAAGGATATATATTATAACACATAATATATAAAAGAAACTCAACCAAGCTTAGCAGCAGAAACTCAACATCAATCTCAACGATAGAACAACTAATGCGAGCTACCTAAAGCCAAACGGGGACCAACCTTTAGTCAATTACCGATTTCTACTCAAGTTTTACCAAAAGTAAAATTGGTGAAAATTCAACGGCCAACGGTCAATGTCAAAGATCAACCTTCCCAAACCACCACGTTGTGGCCAACCGAAGGCTGTGTCATAGTAACGAGATAACAAAATGGCCACATGACTCAGCATCCCACCACGTCGTGGCAAAGTCTCCATCGCGTCGTGTCGGCGTCCTACTAGCTTAACCCATTATGCTCTTAACCCCTATATACATAGCTCCAAAGCTCATATCTCGGTCGATTCAGGACATGCATGGATAAAGTTTCCAACTTTATCTATTCCCTAACCTCAAGAAGCTTAGATCTCAAACCCTAACACTTAAAGGGACTTAAATAACCCAAAAAGGTCCATGTATGGCTCATATTTAAGCAAGCATCCAAATTTATAGGACCCTAAGGTCTAAAGACTACCTCAAACACCATCCAAGTGTAACACCCCGACTCCCAGGTATATTTTAAAAGCTTTTTATTCATTTTGTTGAAGGAACTCGACGAGTTGGAGGCCCCAACTCGTCGTGTCGAACCTAGTCATCCCGCGTGGGTTTTGACTCCTACTCGACGAGTCGGAGGACCCCGACTCGACGAGTAGGGGATATGCATGGAAACCCTGATTTTTAGGGTTTGCCCCCTATTTAAAGAACCTTAACTCCTCTCCCCAGCCTCCCTTACCAGCCTACCGTCCAGAAACAAACCCTAGCAAGCTAACTCTCCATTTTTTTAGTGTGTGAGGCTAAAAGAGTGTGTTTTGGTGCAATTCTTGAAGAGATTTTAAGACCTAAAAGCTTGGAACGAGAAGGAGTCTGTAGATCCAGCACCCATTTCATTTTGGCATTCATTTGAAGGTAAAAAGTCTTTACCTTCGCTTTCCATTTCTTAGATCTTATCGCATGCATGAATATGGTCATTTTTGGGGGAAAATGGGGTCATTCTCGGATTTGAACTTGTACAGAAGATATAGTCTCAGATCTGGACTCCTCTAGGTCCCAAATTCAGAAAGCTATTATCTTTATCTAGTATTAACCCCTCACCATGCCCTAAACCTCGTTCTAGACTTGGTTTTGGTGTTCTAAGCCTTTAAGACCTTGCATGCACGTAAAGTTTGCAACTTTACGTGGAATTTGTCCCTTAGGAAGCTAGATCTACAAGTTGGAGCTTTGGAGTAGCTTAAAACGTCTGGATAGGAAATGGACTGCATGAACTCGACGAGTCGCATAGCCGACTCGGCGAGTCAGATGAAGATTGCCTGTATTTGATTCTGTAGGAACTCGGCGAGTCAGTAAGAGGACTCGACGAGTCAGTTAGGGTTTTCCCCGACATTTGGACACGCATGGACTCGACGAGTTGGGTGGAAACTCGGCGAGTCAATTAGGGTTTTGGTGACTTCTGAGTTCTTAAGGAACTCGACGAGTTGCTAGCTGCACTCGACGAGTCGGTCAACATGGACTGTTGACTTTGACCATCGACTTTAACTTTGACCAAGGGTTGATCAGTTTGACTTCTGGGGGTATTTTGGTAATTTGGGAATTTATGGAAGTGGATCATTGGTGGATATAGGTGTTGGACTTGGAGCTGCATTTGGTAGAGTTTGACTTTATCACTTCGAGCTACTTGTGAGGTGAGTTCTTCTCACTATTTCAACGGGGTCTAAGGCACCAATGCCGACCCTTTTTGGATTTATATTCGGGTTATTTGCATGATATGCTTTATGATTTGTATCCTAGTTATAGAATGGTTGTTATGTTAGTGATCCGTTAGATCAGTATCCTGGTTATAGGATGGTTGTTATGTTAGTGATCGGTTAGATCAGTATCCTGGTTATAGGATGGTTGCTATCTTAGTGATCGGTTAGATCGATATCCTGGTTATAGGATGGTTGCCATGATTAGTGATCTGTTAGATCTTTATGACTATTTGTAGATGCTAGCTAGCATATGATACGTATGTGCACATAATTGTTGGTTTAGGGGATTGGGTTGAGGCAGGTCCTGCTTTGTGTTGTAGGCCAAGATACCTAGGGCGGACCGGATAGACTGCAGACCCGGTTAGGGCATACTAGTCAGGCCGAAGGCCCGGTGAGCGGTCCGGATAGGCTGAAGGCCCTGCGAGGCGGTCCAGACGTGCCGATGGCTCAAAGAGCGGTCCAGATAGACTGATGGCCTGTGAGACGGTCCATTCAGACTGATGGCTCATTACACATGCTGTGTTTGTTTATATGATATGGTTATATCTGTATGGCGTTGGTATTTTGAGGGAACTCACTAAGCTTCGGGCTTACAGTTGTTGATTTTGTTTCAGGTACTTCTGATGATTGCGGGAAGGCGAAGGCGTGATCGTACACCCCCTTATGTTTTATGATTTGATTCTGGGATACTCTGACACTAAACCATTTTGAAAACAAGTTTTGTAATAATTATTGGTTTTGAAATGTTTTAAAAAGTTTAAATTTGGCATGATTTTTATGGATGTTACACCAAGGCCTTGGGGTTGCTTCAACGCCCTGGAGTCTAGAAGTGATGAAAGATCAGTCCTCTCTCAGCAACAAACTTAGATCATTGTCCCCTTTTTCCAAGAGCCTTTAAGAGCTTGATCTTTCCAAGAACACACACAAGCACACAAAAAACATACTCATACATGTTTCACTCTATGGGGTTGGAGGCTGGAAAATGAGGGCAACCATACTCACAAGATTGCTTAAATAGGGACAAGGCCCGAGACCTAGGGTTTTGAACCCAACCGTCATCGAGTCATGGCCAACACTCTACCTCATTGTGGTTGGCTTACTTGACACGGTTCATTAAATGAGGTGGTTGAGCCATGGTGGTCCTCCGCCATTACGCCACGGTCAGTCAAAAGTCCCAAAAACTTCAAGACTTGAAATAATTAACCGAAAAGAAAAATACCCAAAAATCGGATGTTACATCGGCTAAAGAAACTCAGTGGAAGATGCAATGAGGATGATGGAATCTATATATAAAATAAGGTATGTGGTGGTATGTTGTAACGCCCGCGTTTCTGGCTAAGCATTAATAAGATGATGTAATAGTTAGGGTCAACAATTGTAACATATTTGATGTAATAAATAAGAATTTTGTGAATATTATGTGTTTCATTATTATTATAATATAATAAAATAGGAAAAATCAACCGAATCGTCCGAAAATCGTAAAAATAAGTTCGCCAAAACACACACATAC